TATGAATGTGGCTGATCTCTAAACCTCATGCAGCTTTTCCATATTTATGCTACTGTAGGAGAACTTATGTTAAATTGGCTCACTGTTCACATTTGTTCTTGCCTCTTTAATGTTTATTTACCATAACCTTGGAGATGTAGAGTAATTTAGACTCCATGCCAGGTTTCCTCCGCGTACCCATGGATGAGATAAGGCATGCAAAATACTGAGCCCTAAGCCAGACACACAGTAGGTACACAGTGAGCTCCTATTAATATTTATTCTTAGTGATTATTACCTTTACTCTTCCCACTCCATTAATTCACCTCCTTTCCCTCTTTCCATTTTCTGGTTCTCTATTTCCAATTATGTGAACAAAATTCATTTGAATTTCAGCTAAGAGTTATTTCCTCCCCCATTTGCCACCTTCAGTTGTTCATTGTTGCCACGCAACTATAAGACATGCTATCTTTAGTCCTAGGGAAAACTGCATATGGTTTAACAAATCCTGTGTTTATTTTGTCCCAAGTATTTGCTTACTGCTTACATACATAATGAGGGTGGGGGAATGGATGGAGGGAGGTGATCAGTGTGTTTCTTCAGAACTCCTAATGTTACATGTAATTAGAGTCTACATTTGCTGGGGAAAACAAGTTGGTAAATTTATAATTCATTTGATAGCTATGTGTTTTCTTATAAACAAGATAATATTGCTTTTGGCAGATATATATAAGGTTAGGTTAGTTTTATTCTAGTTTTTTTTTTAAGAGATGGGGGTCTTGCTCTGTAACCTAGGTGGGAGTACAATGGCATGATCCATAGCTCGCTGCAGCTTTGAACTCTTGGGATTAAGTGATTCTTCCAACTCAGCCTCCCCAGTAGCTGGGACTACAGGCTCCCACCACCGTGCTTGGCTAATTTTTTAATTTTTTTGTAGAGACAGGGTAGGGTCTGGCTATGTTGCCATAATAGTCCCAAACTCCTGGCCTCAAGTGATACTCCTGCCTTGGCCTCCCAAAGTGCTGGGATTACAGATGTGAGCCACTATGCCCTGCCAAATTCTAGAATTTTTTAAATGACTCACTTATATTAATATTTGATTTTATAGTTGATACTTTAAGGTTGTTAGAAACACCAAATGCTACTGCATAGAAATATTATAGATTGAAAATGTGGGTTGCACCCTAAGCCTAGATGTAAAGTGAAGTCCTAATGCTTTTAATTAATTATATTTAATTCATTTATCTTAGGTGTTAATAGTAACAAAGGTTAATCAATTTTATCCAATCATACTTACTGATATCTATTACATATATAACATTATGAGAGAATCTGAACAGGATACCAAGGAGCAATAAGAAACCTGGTTTCCACCATCAAGGAACTGTCTAGTTGGATTTCACAACTTACTATATATGAAAAAAGTCAGCATATATGCAAACATCAAATTTTGTTTTAAAGAACTGTTTTTAGTACAATGGATGTGTATTAAGAATTCAAGAAAATGAGGAATTAGGTGGACTGGTGTGCCAGCTAGCTTCCATTACTTTCTCTAGCTAACCTCTACCTTTCTCATCTCTCCTGAAGACTGCTTTCCCTCTGGCCTCTGGTTTAGTTCAATGTTGAGTCTAGGTAGGTAATCTGAGGGTGGAGGAGAATGAGGTCAGGGTAGGCACATTTGTGGGACCTGGGGCAAGAATACAAATGCAGGCACAGATACCATATGCCTAACAGTTTAAAACTAATTGCTTATAAATGAACTGTCAAATAATATATGTTCTATGCTCCTATTTTGGCCAATATGTCTTTATAATAACCTGAAAGGCCAAGTTCACATTTAGGGTTTTCTAATTTGTCAGAGTTCCACACTGGAATATAGGGACATGGTGAGAAACAGGCCTCTGCCTGCAGCCTACCACATTCTTTTTCTACCCAGCTCCGTCCTGTGCTCCTCGACCTCCTCATAGCCCCGCTTTACCCTGGCAAAGAGCTGCTCCTTAGCCACACCTCAGGCATAGGGATGCTGGCTACCTGGACCTTGGAAAAGCCTATGCAGATTCTGGAGACATGTTGGGAGCCACTTGGGCAGGGAAATCCAGGATCGTGCATATCCAGAACATGGTCTAGAAAGGAAGGTATGAATTCTGGGTGGCCATGCCCCCTTGGCGTTGTGGACTCCCTATCTTGTAGGATGTTGTGCAGCTAAAGGAGGGCCAGAGCAGGAGCCCCTTCTGCCTGGGTCTAAGGGTAATATTGAGTCAGGCTATTAATTTCCCCAGGTGCTTTTCTTCCAGGTTGCTTCTGGAAGGATGTTTCCTTCAAGGAAATGTCATAGCTCTTCTTAAGGTGATTCTCTCTACAGAACTTTCTAATTCCTCATCTCTTTGGATTTTGAGATAGAAACAGCCCTGGGGTACTATGTGTTATAGTTATACCTACCCTGACTACCACTGCCCAGTCTCTTTATTAAACCATCACCAAATACCTTAATTTGAGTGTACCATCTCTTTACTGCTGCGATCATACCCAACACAGTTGATTACTTAAGTGAGATTTCACAGCAAAGGTGAACTTGATGTAGGCCTTGAGGCAAACTTTTACTTTCTAGGAAAGCAAAAATAGGATTTAGAAATTAAAGGAACTCAAAAGGTTATAGAATCCAATCTTTCCACTCTGTGTCAACACTTTTGCCCTCATCATTTGATATTTTATTTGACACAACACAAAGTCATTCTTCTCTTTGAATTTTTTCTTAATTTCACATCCTCCTATGTTCCCTCCTGTGCTCCCAGTGTTGGTAACATAGCTGTCATGTACCCTACAGTGACTCATTTCTCCTCTTACTTTTCTTTAATCAAATTTCTGTGAGCTCTTTATTCATATAATGCATTGTGAAGCCATTTGGCTTTCACTTGATGGGGAATGCATCATTTGCTTGTAAGGTTTTTTTTCTACTCTTTTCTCATTAGCCCAAGACAATTAAAGTAATACTATTCGGTGCTATAGGAATAATCATAACCTAAAGGAAAATTCGAGACCTGAGATCCTATGGCAGTATCCCATTTTTAGGGATATGTTTATATTACTTTTCTAGATGAACCAGAATATGTTTATATTACTTTTCTAAGTCACAGAAACATAAAACAAAAATTTTAAAGTTATCCTAAAGAATTCATAGACTCCTCTCTCCTCCCTCAGTGTATCTGCTAACTTTAATTTGAGACACATGGGTTTTCAGGACCGAGTTGATGTGAGAGGTGAGGGGAAGGGAAAAAGCCTAGTATGACGACTCAACGGTGTCTGGTCTGGGCCACTGAGCGCATAGTGGTTCTATTTGCTGACTTTAGGAGTAAAAAGAAAACATACATTTAGGAGAAACGATGAAGTCAGTTTTGTACAATCTCAATTGTGAGTTTCCTGCAGTAATTCTCTTTCTGGTCAAATGAGCTGGAGATATAAATTTGGGAGTCAACATTGTGAAACCAAGATAGTAGATGTGGTCATTCAGGGAGAATATGCAAACAGAGAAGATGGCCGAGGAAAAACAGCCTTAGTGAACACAGTTCCTGGACAGTAGCAGTTGGGGGGGGGTTGAGTGGGGGTGGTAAGGAAGCCAAAAGAGAGGCAAAATTTAAGAATAAAATTATTAATGCAGTCAGATGGGAGGCTGAGCCAAAAGGATCACTTGAGGCCAGGAATTTGAGACCAGCCTGAGCAGCATAGTGAGATCTGTCTTTACAAAAAGTAAAAATAATTATCTGGGAGTGGTCGTGGGCGCCTGTAGTCCCAGCTTCTTGGACGGCTGAGGTGAGAGGATCCCTTGAACTCAGGAGTTCCAGGCTGCAATGAGCTATGATCAGGCCACTGCCCTCCTCCAGCCTGGGCTACAGAGTGAGACCCTGTCTCTATTAAAAAAAAAAATCAAGTAAGACAAAGACTGAAAACAGTTATGTTTGGTGATTAAGAGGTGCTGACCATAGTTAGTGCAATTTCAATGGCGTGCAGCGCAAAGTCTGATCACAGCGAGTCCAAGGGCAAGGGGGGAAGTGAGGAAATGCAGCTATTAATTCAAGACTTTTGCTTTGTTGTGAAAAACATAGCCAGATGGGACTGCAAAGATGGAGGACTTGAAAACTATGCAACAATGTTGATCATTGGTGGCACCAGCTGGGGAGGTAGCTTAAAGATAGAGATCCTTGAGTGGAGGGATCAGATCAAGGGTCAAATAGAAAGAGACTTTCTTCCAAGCTTGGAGAAGGGAGATGGGTGGAGGTACAGAGAGGAGGTGGGGAATTGAGGGTGCCCACACTTCACACCAAAAGACCTGTTTTCTCTGTGGAATATGAGGCAAGGTCCTCACCAGAGACAGAGAAGGGCAGAGGTGGGGCCAATGTCTTGCGAAGAGTGCCAAACGTTGGGAGAGAAAGCTGCCCAGGGAAAAATACTGAGAGGTGCTGAGTCTGACTATGAATTGAACGTGGCACCAATCTCGGGGTTATGTGACTTTTCCTTCTAATTCTGCCCTGCAGCCTGTAAGACCCAGAGAAGGTTGACTTCTGCTGAAATCTCTGTCCCCAAAGGCTCAGACGTACGGACTTGAAGTCCTGTGGTTGAATCGTGTGTCAGTGCCTCCTAGGAATTTAGGAAAAGCACAGAAGGGTCAGCGTGCTTGCATTCTGAGAGTAACGTTCTGTACTTTCGGCATCCCCAGGCCTTCACGGAAGTCCAGTCATTTTTCGCAAGGATGAGGCATAACCTGGAGATGAGATGAGGGGCTGTGCATAACTTTCCCGCTCCCAGATCCCTCTCGAGGGAGGGCGGCCGGCTGCCTCAGTCCAGGTGCTGGCTCCCGCAGGTGGAGGAGGGGGCCCCCGACTCGCGCTCCAGGCGGAAGCGCCACTGCCATTGGCCCGGCGGCGACATTTACCTGCACGGGACCCGGCGCGCAAAGTCCGAGGCGCGGGGCGGGGGCGGAGGCGGTGGCAGCCGGCAGCGTAGGTGGGCCCGCGCTCTCGGCCAGGCAAGATGCCCCTGGGGCTGCGGGGAAAGAAGAAGAAGAAGTCCAAGGGGACCGCCCGGCTGGTGGAGGGCGAGCAGATGGGCGCGGGCGGCGGGAGCCTCCCCGGCTCCCCGGCTCCCGCGCGCAGGCTGGTCTTCCACACGCAGCTGGCGCACGGCAGCCCCACCGGCCGGGTGGAGGATTTCTCTAGCATCCGGGAGCTCTACGCCAAGATCGCCGGCGTGTTTGAGATCTCGCCGTCGGAGGTAAGGGGCCAGGGGTGCAGCCTCTCCGTCCGTCTCCCCGTCTCTCCAACGCGCCGGCTTAAATTGGCCCAGGCTCGTTGAGAGGCGCTTCCTTGAACCTGATCGGATGCAGGGTAGAGTCCTCCGGGAGCGTCCCAGGGGAAGGGAGTGAGCCTTACTGGGAAGGGAAAAGGTAAGTACCAGGAGCGGAGAAAGCCACATCCTCAGAGATCTGGCCTTTGGGAAACTGAGGGCGAGGCAACCTTTCTTCGCATGCAAATGCGTTTGCTCTAGACGTCTCAGATTTAGTCGTTCCGGGCGTGAGCAACTCCCCAGAGTCGAGATCTGGCCCGGCAAATACCCTCCACCTCATCTGGACTTTACTCTCCTGTTTCCTCCGCAGGCGTGAGAGAGTCACGTTGGGCATCTCCATAAACTAAGGTGGGGGAGGGAATTGAAGTGCCGTCCGGGTGATACCAAACCCAGGCCCACTTTGCCCCTCATCTGTCATTTCCAACATCAACACCTGGAAACCCATTGGTGGTATTTCCAAGAAGTTTAAAAAGCTGGGCTGTTGTTCCAAGGGTGGGTAACCTAGAGAATCATACTTAATCCCATGAGACTAGTCAACAAAATTTTCATGGGGGAGATCAGCTATAACTTTTACATCGTATCCTAAAAAGGGACTGAAGTTTCCCTTAATTAGATTGTGTGTGGGCCTGGAACTGGAGTTTGGTATAGACATGATCTCGAAAGCACTAGTTTATATGGACATTTATGTGACTACTTTATTTGTGCTTACTCATGTGAACTGCAAGTGTAGGTGTGGGAAGTTAGCTCAAGAAATATTTTATCCTCATTTCTAGGAAAAGCACGTGATTTTGTTGCCCTGGACTCCCATCCCAGCAGTGCAGAGAGCTGCCCTGGAGTGCCAGAGCCGGGCATCTGGATATCTGTTCTTTAGTTGTTTGTCAGGTCTGTTCAAGGGAAATTGAGGTCAAGGCAAAATTCCAAGATGAGATGAAAGAGAGCCAAAAGTATAACCCTTTTTTTTCAGGGTTCCCAGGCACCAAAGGGCAAATCACAAACCCATTTGCAAATTATTTATATTGATATAGGATATGAATAATATTTTATGTTTGTATGGGAATTTTCATTTCAAAAAGCACCTTCACAGGAATAATTTTTTTTTAATCTTCTCTAGGGGAGGTGGGTGGCAGGTTAAATACAATAAACTTGGGCGTGGAACCAGTTTCTACCATTTACTAGCTAGCTGTGTGGCCTTGAACAAGTCTAACTTATCTCAGTTTTAGCCATCTATAAAATGGAAATAAGAATACTTACCTTGAAGGGTGTTGTAAATACTGGGGTTTTTATGTGAACCTATCAGATTGCATGGCATATGGCCAGTGCTTGGTAATTGTAACTAATATTATTAATACTTAACAGTTAAATGGGAAGCTGAGGTGCCAAGTGATTGTGCCTTGGCTAAGGTAATATAACTAGCAAGAAAAAAGCCGGGTTGTTATTTGCATTTGGATCTTCTGATGTCTAAGCTAGTGAGCCCATTAACATACTTAACTGGCAACTTTAAAAGTCTCTCCTGTAACCAGGAACTCCAGTTTTAGTTACAGATGCTCCCTGATATGTTCAGTTTAAGATTTTTCTATTAATACTTTACCGTGGGTTTACTGGGGTATTAAATGCATTTTCAACTTATGATATCTTTGCCTAGTGATGTATTTATTGGGATGTAGCCCCTTGGTAAGTCAAGGGGCATTTGTACTTTGCATGAACAGTTTTCCTCCTCATTATATATGATGTTATTCTGAGCTCAAGATACATGATTTTATTCAATCTACTTAATCCTTAACAAGCAAATATTATTAATATCTCTGCTTCACAGAGAGGAAACTGAGCCTTTGAGGTTCAGAACTTTTTGGAGTTACACATAGCAAGTGGCAGAGCCTGGATTCGAACCCAGTTCATTTTTTTTTTTTTCCTGACTCCAAATTCCGTGAAGCTATATTGCTTCCTAAGTTTTCCAGAGTCTCTCTGCAATAGTTGGGTAGCCGTGTTCAACATTTTCAGTGCACTGACTTGCAAGATAAAATTCCGAGATAATAAACACAAGCCGTTTTGACGTGTTATATTAAAGTTCACAAATAAATTTTCCTAACCCATATATATGTATATTAGCATCCTTTTGCATGTAACCAACGTTAATGAAAGTTTTCCATCTGTATTAAAAAGAGTTAAGTATTTTTAGGATAAAGTATTCGTCATGATAGTATAGTATATCGTAAGTATTTCACTAGTTCACTTTGAAACAGAAGTAACTTATTAAAATCAAATGAATACCAGGGAGATTCTGTTTCCTATCTCATTCCCCTAGCAAGCAGTTTTCCCAATAATAATGGTGTAAGTAACCTTTGAGATGTTAGTGGGGACAAAACAAAAATGTTCCCCCTCTTGATAGGAGTGAGTAGATAAGTCCCACCCTTTCTCCAGAGAGGTGGCTGTAAGGAAATAAATAGCACTATGTGAAGAGCTGTACACTGTCTGCTGAGTGGAAAAAAGGAAAGCACTTGATGTCAGGTGGAGCAGACACAGGTGAACTTACTGGGGGCCCATAATGTGCCCACAACCGCGTTAGGCATGGAAGCCTACAGTATAGTCATTCCATCTGCACCAGAATTCTTTTCATTTTGCAGTTGAGGTAAGTGAGACTCTGCAAAATTAAACAGGCTGGTACGTGGTGGGGCCAGGATTTGAATTCAGTTTCCCTGGTTCCAAGTCTGTTACATAGCAGCTGGGAGATTCTTGGTAACTGCATTCCAATACCAAATACAAACCCGGAAAAACTTCTTTTTTAAGCAGATTTTTTTTTTTCAATTAAAGCGTCAGTCTCAACCAAAAAAATATTTATCGCTTCAAAAAGATGCTGTTGTAGATTTCAGCTAGTATTTCATGGTCCCTGAAGAAAGAAGCTAATGAAACCTATGAATCACTTAAGATTTGTTACCAACTCTGGGCAGGGTGCAGTTTATTGTGATCATTAAGCTGAAACAGATGGCCAATTATACAAAAAGCCCTTATATCTGATGTCTTTTTTCAAAACAACTAAATGAGCAATTCAGTAAAAAGAAAAAAGTACCTGTAAATTAATCTCATCTAAGGAACAGCTAACTCATAACGTAAATGCGGGATGTTTTTTCAAAAAGTTTGATGCCATCTTTTAAAATGTTCAGGTTGGCCTGGTGCGGTGGCTCACGCCTGTAATCCTAGCACTCTGGGAGGCTGAGGCGGGCGGATTGTTTGAGCTCAGGAGTTCCAGACCAGCCTGAGCAAGAGCGAG